TGGGGGCCATCTGACCCCGCTCGGGCAGCCCGGGGATGGGCGACGAGGGCGAGCGCGAGCGCGGCCGCGCCCCCCAGCAGCGCGACTTGAAGGGGCGCTGCTCTGACCGCGCGGGGGGCGGGGGCAGGCGATCGCGCGGGGGCGGATCCTCGCTGCGGCGTCGCTGCAAGGAGGCAGTGGGCCAAGTGCTTCCCGGAGCCCCCGCCCAAGGGGCGCCAGATTAGTCGGAAGGCTCGTCGGTCGTCGTCGCGGCGCGCGTGTAGTGCTTGCGCGGGCTCGCGCAGTGCCTTCGCGGGTTCGCGTTCCGACGCGTTTTCCCGCAACCCGGCTCGGCGCGAGACGGGGCCAGGCGCGCTGTCGGTTGTCGGGGGGGGGAGGGCCAGGCGAGATCTCACGCCGCGCGCGCTGGACAAGATAATGCCGAGCTCTCGGGCCAGCGACCGCGAGACAGACGAACCTGCCAGCCCCGCCTCGACGACCGATCTCACCAGCGTCCACACGCCGAGCTGCCAGGGGGAGTCTCCGGGCCGCGGCGAACAGGCGACGCGCGCGCGTTGGCCGAGGCGGGCGGCACGACCCTCGCGCCCCTGTCTGGGCCGCGCCGCAGACGCCATTCGCTACCCAGCTCAAGCGCGCGGAGCAGCGCCGCGCCGACGGGGGGCAGCTGGAGGGCGGCGGGGCGCCGCAGTGGTCGACGGCAGGGCCTCGGTCCTGGAGCCCGGAGGATCGCGAGCGCAGGATTGCAAAAAACCGAAGGATTGCAAAAAACCGAAGGATTGCAAAAAACCGAAGGATTGCAATCCTTCGGTTTTTTTGCAATCCTTCGTTCAAGGGTTTTTTGCAATCCTTCGGTTTTTTGCAATCCTTCGGTTCTGCAGGAGGAGCAGTTGGACTCGAGGCACTCGCGCAGGCCATGGCCCAGGGCCGCAGGCGGGCCGCGCGCCGACAAACACGCCCGGCGAGGAGGGCCGGCCGACAGCGGCGCCCGCACGGGCGACAGCGTGGCGCGGCCTCGGCATAGCCCCCCCCAAAGTGCAGGACGCCCACGACGCAGCACAGGCCACAGCGAGGCGGACCCCCCCGAAAACCAACCAATCACCAGAACGAAAAGAAGTGATAGCCCCTGAGTGAAGTCATTCTTCGGGGGAGAGAGGGACTACAGTCAACTCGCACAGGAAGGATGATCGACTTCTCAAGGGTACCGCTGCATCTTTGCCTCATCGGTCATCTTCGGTCCATCCTCAACATCTTTCGATGGCCAGCCCCGCTCGAAGAACTTTGGCATGGGCGCCCAAGGCCCTTGCATCCTCACCGCGCATCCTTCCTATACGCGTTGACTGTACACACCTTTTGTTTGGGGTGGCGGCGGCAGCGGAACGATCGCACATCAGTCAAAGCGACAACTTGGGCACGGAGGCGCAAATGTTGTAGGGAGGTAGGGGTAGGGTGGAAGGTTTCTTAGAAGCACCCTGCTCCTCAGAAGGCGCGGGCCTAGTCTATATGTGTATATATATACACATATACACACACATATATATATATATATATATATATATATATATATAAAAAGTCGGCACCTTCTGAGAAGAAGCAGCCTCCTTCTGAGAAGCCTCCCCCCCTACCCCCTTACGCGCGCCGCCAAGCACAGGAACACGCGCAGACGAATAAAGAGAGGCGGCCGCGAAGGGGGAAGGGAAGTGGGCACAGTCAGATCGTGTAGTTGTTGTTCGGGTGCAGTGCTACAGGCTCAGGCTCCTGAGGGAGTCGTGCGAAGTACCAATGGGTCAGAACACTTGAACTGTCCAGTGCAAGCGTCTGAACAGCTCGCAAGGGCAGTGCCCGTACGATCTGGCGGTGTGTCTGTCCAGAGTTCTGTGTCAGTAATTATCCAGGTCTTGCCGTGCGTCGAAGAACGAGAGCGCAAAGTCCGAGCGTGGCTCGAGGACGTCCGCGAATAATGTGCCGGGAGTCTTGCTCGCATGCTCGCAGATCCAAGTGAGAGGCAACATGCCAAGAGACCAGGGTCAAACGGGCGCCCGATTGTGATCGTTTTTTATTATTATTCGGCCGATCGGTGCGAGCCCTCGGACCCCCCCTCCCCCCCCCCCTATGGAGTGGATCTTGCGTGTTTTTTTACCCTGTTTCGAGCAGGTGGGGTCCCTCCCACATCGGCCGCACTGCTGCAAACAGTCGCACTAAGTCGCACTAAGCAGAGGTCTGGAGCCAGACCCCCACCCTTCCGCCCAATGTCGAAACGCCGAATAAAAAAGCTCACATGCATTTGTGTTCCGTCGACGTGCGGCTGAATCCAAACCACGGACGCATGTCAACAACACACGTGTACCACGAATCATTTTTTTTGGAACGGCGCGGGAACGGACGCCGATACTTGTCCTCCGTCGGCGATGTGATACCATTGTCGCGAACGGCTGCATGGGACACATATAGGCTAAGGTCACCCATAATTGTGGATGCAAGGCAGGCAGTGAGCCCGGCCCGCCTGCTGCAAGGACTCGGGTGGGCCTTGGTCGGGCCCCAACGTGCACGCACGCACCCTTTTTGCTCCGCTGGCTGGGTGACGTCACCGCAGGGAGCGATAGAAAGGGACACTAACTACCATGTCGAATTGCACCCAACAGTGAGGATGGGGGTAAGCGGAAGCCCGCGAACTTGCGTGCACGCAATGAAGCCGCACCCAGTGATGAATGCAGTCAGCGGGTCAAGTTCAAACAGGGTGGGATACGCTCAAAGCAATTTAACTACATACAGGGGAAACATTAGGAAAGGTGGAGGCTTGAGTGGGAGTGGGACGAACCGCCGAGCAGCTAGGCACAGGCGCTTGCCAGGTGTAAAAGGCGCGACGAAAGTAATCAGGACGCAGCCCAGGAGGGAGAGGGGCGGAAACGGAGGAGATGCCTGACACACAGACAGACACATCAACCGCTGTGCAGCGGCTTTGCGCATATTGTTGATCGGGCTATTGCTCGCTCGACGCATTGCACACATTCAGTATGACTTTGCAGAGCCCACGTTTGGGAAACCAGTCTAACATATTGAATCCGCTGACGTACGCACTATGTGTTGCAGCCAAGTGGGCGAACAATTCACTGCCGAGCAGGTCAGGTATCGATTAGTTTCTGCGAAACGGATCAGCAGATTGAAGCACGTGGCGGAACATCTGCCATTGGGAATGGTCACCATGTAAACGGTAAAGTCCGTCGGGTTTCTCAAGTGCGTTGTTGTGATCGCCGGAGGCGTTGCGAAGAAGCAATGACCATTGTAGGCGCAGGTAGCATGTTGATGGGGTGTGCGGAACGCATCCATTCAAAATTGGCATTCCGCATGCCGTTTGTCCTTGACGACCAGTCCGCGAGTGGATGGTAGTTTGCTGACAAGTGTTTCGGAGTGGTGGAAGAACTCGGAGCGGGTAGTAGGAGTGGTGCAGCAAGCGTCAAGCAGACCAGGACGAAACCGAAATAGATGGATGATTGTGTGAGAGAGTGTTTCTGCGATGCCGAAGTGCTTGCAATGCCGTCCGTCATTATCCGTTGTATGTCTTTCTGTCGGTGTGCTTGCCACTTCTGCCTCCGCCGCGCCCTGCCAGCCATTTTGGGCAATGTGTCGCCTTCATGGCCATGTTGGCCAAGGGCGCTGCCATGGGAATGGTCGGAGGAGGGTCGCGACTAGACCAGACCTCTGACATTGCGCGTTTTGCTGGTTCGGCTGCGCCCGATCAAACCCAAGGCTTGGCATTGGTACAGCTGCATCTTCCTCTCGGCTTCACTTCACGATTCGCCGCCTCTCCCTCGGCCCGAAGCTCAATGTTTACCATTATCATGGATGAACGTATTACCTTCAGCCCGCCCATGTTGACAGAGACGCAGCCGAATTTTGAGACCCCAAGCTTGCATCTATATTTGCGAAAAGAAGCCCCATGGCTGGGCAAGGTGGCCTGGTAGGCTGAATGTGCGCCCCTGGGTTGCGCCGATCTCACCAGAGTGCTGCTCTATTCTTGATACAGCAAGTTTTGCCAGGCGCATTCAAGCAATACCGCTCAGTGGCATTCAGCGATGTCGGGTACCGTACCAAATCCGCTTGAGCGTATTGCCTATTTTGGCGTTGCGTTGTTGTCGTTTGGAGTTGTTTGGAGGGTGTGCCCCATGTACCTCTGCAATTGGCATGCGTTGTCTGACACCATGATGTTTGCGTTTCGTTTTGTATGTATTTAGACTGAGTTGGTGTGGCTTTCATTGTTAAGTTGCTATGGCATGGCAAATGATCAGGCTTGCCACGGCCTGGTACACATATACGTATATGTAAATATGTTCGTGCATATGTATATTTGCATATATATATATATGTATATATCTATATATATATATATATATATCAGCACTGCTTGCACCGCGTTTCTCCAACGCAACTTTGCGACGCAACGGAGGCATTCCAGAGATACCAGTGCAACGCAAGGCCAAGCGCAGCAACACACGCCAGCCAGACACACCACCGGCGAGGCATGACAAAACAATCGGACGCTCCGCAAACGTGCATCAGCGAGCTTAAGCACAAACGTAACGCAGGGCGAACCAAGACAAGCCATAACATGCCGATGCAACTCAACACGCAGTGCGGCCATGCGCGAAAACAGCTCGGAGCACATTCGCTGACGCCTGTCAACCAACAATTCAGCCCAGCCCTAGACTCAAGCACACCAGACGTGAAGTCAATTCACATCAAATGACGCCAGGCCATATCAAGCAAACCAAACCTAAGCGAGGCAAAGCAAGGCCATGTTGACGTGCCTGTCCTGTGACGTCCTGGCCTGAGGTTCAAAGGATGTCTGCACACTTGCTTGAAGTCCCGCGTCATGGAGACGCTCGAATGCGATAGGGGCGGACTTGGGCACTGTGCACGAAGGGGTGGGCGTCCGCGGCAGCGGTGGCAGTGTCGGGCCTGGCGAGGTCGGGGAGCTGCTCGCAGGCCTGCGCACGTCAGGGGCCATGGAGGCGCCCACCGCTCTCGTGCAGCGCCTGAAGCCACCGCCGACAGCCCGTTGCTGCCATCGAAGGCGATCGTTTCGAGTTTCGAGCGTTTCTCGTCATTTGTCGTGCTTTGCGTAATCCCGTCAGCCTGTTCAGGATCCAGTGTCGCGCTCCCATGTCGGGATGGATAGTTGGGTCCGCGCGGGGGGCCTTTGGGGAGTATCAGGACCTTCCTCCCCTTGGCGAGCCTGGTCTTCATGGATTTGATTGTCATATAATCCATTCCGCTGTTCATGCCAGCCGATGGCTGGGACGATCACATGGCCTTGAAATTGAGTAGTACGGAGAGTGAGGACTCGAAGTACGAACGATGAACACAGATCGGAGGAAGCAAAATGTTGGTGGCACGGCGTTGGGTTGTTGTAACCTCGCTGACACACCACATGCCGTGTCACGTTCTCGTCAAATTCATGTAGCATCTACAAGCTTGTGGGCAAGTCAAGCTGGAACCACCTAAACTACATAGTCGAAGACGCCTGCGGCGAGTCGTCGCCACCACTTGTCTTGTTCGAGGGACGCAAGTGCGGCCACGCCAGTGGACTGCGTGCTACCCCAGCCGTTGGAAAAAAAATATTGGTGCACACCGGGGCTGCCTTGGTGCTCTTTTTCGGGCCTCTGGGGCCTTCTTGGGGACCGCCTGGTGCCCCCGCCTGGCGCCTTCGGATGCCGTCTTTTGGGCCCCTCTTGGGGCCGTCTTGGGGCCTTCTTGTGGGCTTTCTGCGCCTTCGTTGGGCAACCTTTGAGGCCTCAGGAGCCGTCTCGGGCTCTTGGAAGCTTGATTTTGTTTGCTAGGACGTGGAAGCATACGGAGTAGAACATTCAGTGGATTTGGATATCGAGGTTCTCGTGGGGTGGGGTTCTTCTTGGAGCCCTCTTGGAGCTTCTTGGTGGCGCCTTGGGCCGTTTTAAGCAATCTTGGGACGCTTTGATGATCTAGGGACCTTTTCGGACTGTATTGGGGCTCTCTTGCGATCTCTTGACGGCCTTTGAGGGATCTTGCGCCGTCTTGGGGCGGTCTTGGGCCGTCTTGGGGGCCATCTTGGGGGCCTCTCGCGCCGTCTCGGGGCGACTCTGCGGGCCTCCTTGGGGCCGTCTTGCATTCTCGGGGGCACGAAAAAGGCGAGACGCGGGCCGTGTTGGGGCCGTCCTTGACGTCTTGGGACCATATTTGGACCATGTTTTCGAGGGGGGGGTTAGGGGAGGGGGGGGTTTTGCCGGGGGAAAGGGGGGGGTGGGGGAGGGGTTCCAGCAGGAAGGGGGGGGGATTTTCGGAGGGGGGGGGGGAGACCCCCGGGTTCCGGAGGAAAAGGGCGGCAATTTTCCACAGTAAAGCGGCGGTGGATCACGCTCTCTCCTATAGTTGGACGCCTCGGGGCGCTCCTGGACCGTCTGGACGGCCTGTTGGGGGCCCTCTTGGGGCAGACGTGGGGCCCTGCTGCTTCGGAAGAGTCCCGCGGCAAGCACGCCGGAAGCCCCCAGGAAGCGCCAGGCGTTATGTGTCATAGAGCCCTCCTCTCCTCCCCCCCTCCTCCCCCTCCTCCCCCCCCCCTCCTCCCCCCCTCCTCCCTTCCCCCCTCCCCCCCTCCCCCCCTCCTCCCTCCTCCTCCTCCTCTCCTCCTCCTCCTCCTCCTCCTCCTCCTCGCCAGACTAGCGCGGTCCTCTCCCCCCCTCCTCCCCCTCCTCCTCTTCCCCTCTCTGCCACAGGGCGCCTCGCGGATGGTAAAAAAAAGTGTCCAAGAGCGTTACAATATCCAATAGTGGGGACTCACAAGGGACGTGAGGACCCTCCAACTCGGGCCCCGAGGCATGGATGTGGATTTGCAGTGCCGAATTAAAAGGGATTCGGAGGGGTTTGAGGGCCGCGAGGCACGGCGCTGGAGCATCCTTTTCATTTGCATTTGCCAAGCCATCTCTGTATAGATTGCTTCCCTTGGCCCCTCCATGGAGGGCATCGACGAGGGGATTCGGCTGCGCATCCTCCAGAGCTTGCTGCGCGCAGGACGCCGTTGCCGTCACCCCCGGCACAGCCGCCCGCGCACGTCTGCAGAGCTGCTGTGACGGGGGGCGTTTGGCCTGCCGGCTCAGCAGTTCGGGATCAGGGAATCGACCACCGCTATCACAAGCCTCCCTGGCCCAATTTGGGCCCAGGTCTTGATACAATTCGGCTCGAGGCCAGGCTGGGAGGCGGGAGGCCACATCCACCAAGATTTGGACCGTGCATTTAAGTCGGGCCTGTCCCTCTACAGGAGGCATATTCAAAAGTAGTCAAAAATAGTATGGGGATTATTTTTGAATATTTTTTAGTTGGCCATTTTGGAATATTTTTTTAGTATGTTTTCATTCTTCGTCGAAAATCCCCCTGTAGGGAGACAGGCCCGACTTAGAGGTTTGGTGGTGGTGGTCAGTTTCCTTTTCTTTGCTCCTGCCTGCTCCCTTCCGTCCTGCAGCTGCTGTGTGGGAGGGGCTGCCGTTTGGGGCCAGCAGGCGGGGGGTCACTGCCTGGGGACCCTCGGCAGCTCCCATGTCCATCTGGTGGTCCTGGAGTGGTTCGACGTTAGGATTAAGTCGGGCCCGTCCCTCTACATGAGGAGTATTCAAAAATAGTCAAAAAATTCTCTGGGGACGATTTGTTGAGTACTTCCTGACCATTTTGGAATATGTTTGAATATGTTTTATTGTGCGTCGAATATCCCCCTGCTGGGGGACACGCCCGACTTAACATTAGGAGTGCGTCAGCGCAGGGCTCCAGGTCGCTGTGGGCCCTTTGCCGCGCCCCGCATGGATTTCTGCTTCATGCCACATCGCATCCCCTGTGTATGCAAAAGCCTTTCTACGAGGAGAAGCAGAGGTGGTCGAGGGCATCTGTACTGAGCACATGCCTCTGAGGGCTTCGAATGGAGGGAGGACGAGAAGGAGGAGGGGAATAGGGATGGGGGAGCTGGAGATGGAGGAGAGCAACAAACCATTCACAGGATCGATCGTGCCGGGAGGGGCGTTCGAGTCGGTTGTGAGCGACGAATGTATCCCATCCCGACCACAGCCGCAGCCCCTCGTGGCTAAAGGCAAGGAAGGGAATTGCTGGTCTGGGGCGTGGGTTCGGCGGGGAAAGAAACATCGTAGCACCCCGCAGTTGCGGATTTGAGAGAGGGGGCGGCGGGGACGTCGGCAGTTTGCGAGGCTCTGAAGAAGCCCGCCGCAGCGCAACAAAAACTCAAGCTATACAACGAGGCGCCGATTTTTTGTCTAAAACAATGTAGGAAGGTCGCGGGTTGGCTCGAAGGTGGGTCGCGGGTGGGTGGACGGTGGGTCGCGGGCCGGCTCGCGGGCGGGTCGCGGTTAGGTTGTGGGTGGGTCGCGGGTGGGTCGCGGGTGGGTCGCGAGCGGGTCGCGAGCGGGTCGCGGTTGGGTCGCGGTGTGGGTCGCGGTTGGGTCGCGGGCCAGGTCGTGGATGGGTCGCGGGCAGGAGACGGGTGGATGAGCATGGGCAGAGGCACACAGCAATGCAGAGAGTGAGGGCATGCTACGTACGCGATGCCAGGTGCCCGCGGACACACCGATCCCACGCGACCTGTCCAGCGCATGAATGATGATGGGCCCGGCGATTGTAGACGCACGACTTTGCGAGGGCTAAGTGTCAAGTGCACCATTGTGCCTGGCACCAATGCTGGCATCACCTGTGATGTTTACGCGTGCCTGGGTGGTGAGCAGTTCCTCCTGTGCTCCCCTCGCAGTAAGCCAGTTGAGGTTAGAAGCGCGTAGACAACATGACTTCTGCACACGTATATTCAATCGAGAGGGCGCTCGCTGAGGTGGTGTGCCACTCGTCCCCTTGTTTCGCCATGAGCTTTGAGCAAGTCTTCGCTGGCGCAGGGGGGCGATTCTCGTTCGACATGTCATCGAACTCGGGCTCGGAGACTGACGACGAGGAGGACCGTCCGCCGCGCTGCCCCTTCTCATGGAAGCCAGCATCAGCCTCTAGCTAGGTTTGAGAACTGTGTTTGCACGTGTTGCTCGAAGGGGAGGGGGGGAGGGGGGCGTCCGATTGACCTGGGGGCTTGGTGGGGGCCTTATAGGGGGGGGTGGGGCAGGAACACAGCAACTACTTTCAATATTTTGCAACAGTGCAACACCACTGAAGCCAATGCAACGTGACTGCTCACAGCCTGGATGCCCACAGAAGGGCTGGCGGATTCAACAGCCAGGTCGGAGAAGCCGAACACGAGGGAATTGAAGCAGGATGCGAAGCTGGGAGATTGGAAACAGATTTGAGGAGTTGTGTAACCGCCCAGAGTCTCTGATGAGCTTCCGCTGCACCGCTGCAGCTGTAGACGTGCTGAGGCATGTAGGCGCAGGGGGCAGATCCGCCCGCACCTCTTCTCCGACTGTGGAACGAGGGGAGTGATACATACGAAGATGAAACGGCTGATGAGGAGGATATGATACCAGGGAGGGCGCGAGGATGATGAGGAGGATGATTAATTGAGGAAAGATGCTGCGCAGGAGGAGGAGGACGGCGATGAGGCATCACAGCACCTGCGCCAGTGAGAGAAATTTCCAGGAGCAAGAGAAGGGCTTCGACAATTACCAGCACTAGCATTCTGGGTTGGTTAGGGAGCAGGGGCATGGGGATCAGTACGAGGAGGAGGAGGAGGAGGAGGAGGAGGAGGAGGAGGGGGAGGAGCAGGAGGACAGTGAAGAGGTTGGGGAAGAGGATGCAGTAGAGGAGGGAGTGAGTCTCTTGTCCCCACTGCTTTGTGATCCTCCTCCTTCCTCGCTCTTGCTTTCATGGCATCATCCCCTTACTCGACTGCCATGCTCTTCAGAGCCGCAGGGGGATTCGCCGCTTGAGACGGCCGATCTGGAGGGTCTGGCGCAGTACATCGAGCGGAACGACCCTAAGAATATCATCTGCATGGCAGCTCCATCGAAGGACCAGATCACGTTGGCAACAGACTTGTGTTGTGCATGTTGAGGTCACGTTGTTGAAATTGAGATGTCCACAGTCTCAAAAGTTTGACCGATCTTGCCATATGCACCCTAGACAGATGCTTGCCGCATGATGCCTGAGCACAGAACCAACGGTATGAGCCACACTATGGGCGTGTCAGTGAGACCCGCGCGAGCAGCTGCACCCGCCTGCGAGCGTCGAATCAGCCGATACCACATCCGAGTTCCGCCGCGGGAGCCGTCCAAGTTCGGCTGAGTGACTGCCACACCACAGCCACGATACCGTGGCTCATCGGCGGCAATCAAGCTACACGCTGATGGTGTCAGCTTGAATTGCGTGTGAGCGCGAAGCGAATCTCAAAAGCACTCGTTGCGAATTTGCAGATTGAGGCCAGCATGTGGGTCTCAAGTTGTGAGTTTGTTGTATGTGTTGTTGCATTTGGATTGTGATGCCGGTTGCCATTAGGTATTTCCAACTTGCATTTTCATGTGCGTTGGCCAGTGCAGCTGCAACAGCCACCTAGTCGTAGCGATCCATGGTAATGGCTAATGCGCTAATGTCAGCGGCCGTCATTGATGTCATCAAACGTGTCGTGGTAACCGGTTTGTGACGACGTACTCGGCAGTTGGAACCGCCTGCAACAGGTCTTCGGCAACGGCTACCCAGCAACCAGCGATTTCGGATTGCGAGCCCAACTAATCTGCATGGTTACGAGCAGCTTCACCGCAATCACTGCAGGCGAATTACATGCTTAGTGATTAGTCGAATATGCTTACCGCGAATCACCGCAGTCCGCTGGCTTTCAGAAACGCCCATGCGGCCAAACGTTGGGCCGACGCCTGGCCAAGCTATTGGATCATGCGTTCCCAGAGCCGCCGTTGTGGAACATCTTGGGGAAACGCTTGGGAGAGGAAGGAACAGGAGGAAAGAAAGAGGGTGGTGAGGGATGACGAGAAGGAATCAAGACTTCGAGGCCTCTTGAGGCCCTCTTGGGGCCTCCTGGGTGCTTCTTCGGAGCCTCTTTGGGATCTCTGAAGGGCATTATCTGGGGGTTCTAAGAGACCTCTTCGCCTGATGCACCTTTTCTGCGCGGTTGGCGGGCTGGACCGAGACCCTTTTGGGAAGAATTCAAAACAACAGCGCACTATCTGGCACGCCGTGCACCGCTGTGGCAAGCCGCATGGGGGCGGCGGACTGCTGGCCTTCGGCCCATCCAGCCACCGCTGCTTGGTTGTAAGTAAGTCAGATGCCTCTTGGATACCTGTGGGGGTATTCTGGCCTCCTCCTCCTCCTCCTCGAGGCCTCGGAAGCCTCGGAAGCCTCGAGCAGGCGGTTCTGGGCGTGTCTTTGGGCCCGACTTGGGCCCGTTGGGGGGCCTCCTGCCTCTCCTGGGGCTTCTGGGGGGCCCCATTTGGGCCTGCTGGCGGTTTCTGGGTCCTCTCCAGAGGGAGGGCGCGGAGTGTCGAGGAGGAGGAGGAGGAGGAGGAGGAGGAGGAGGTGGAGGAGGAGAGGGCGCGGAGTGTCGGTTCGGGGCGCCAGATTTGACGACCTTCTCATACGTATTTCGTTGCCCCTCTTCTGGACTTTTGGGCGACTTCTGGCCTGCTTCTGGTGTCTGCTGCGCAGTCGAGGAACATCTCGGCATCGCCACTGCTCCTGATCTTCTGCCGCCGCGTGGCCCGTTCACAGACGGGCCCACTACTTGCAAGAGGCAGGTGCCAGCGCGTGAGCTTCGGGCAAAGCCAGTGAGCACAGAACAGCGCTTCTCATTTGCAATCAAGGCGGTGGACGCTCAGTAGCACTTCTTCCCGACGCCCCACGGGAGCTGCAATTGCCATCGCCCCCTGCGGTTGGAAGGCCATCGTGCCTTTCACGTCTTGCTCCTCCTCTTCTGTCCATGGCCCTCGCGTCGGGCGCTCCTCTGCGCACCCCCCGACCGGCGGAGAGGTTGGCGCGGGGCTCTCCACGTCGGCTGGCATACCGGACTTCAGAAGTCCTGGGAGCGCACGCCCCCGATCCACAGTTCTTCAGAGGAGCAGGAGGGCATGATCGTGAGGTGTTCCAAGATCGCCGGGGCTTCCAAGACCCTTGAGTGCTCCGCACGGAAATCCGGAAACGTGTGCTGAGCCAATCCTGTCATGACATCATGATCGTCCCAGTTCTGGCTGGAGTTGAGCAGCGGCGGGCTCTGCAGGAAGACGGGCATGAAAGTGCAGGGGGAGGAGGAGCAGTCCGGGTGAGAAGCAGGAGCAGGAGCAGAGCAGCAGAGGCTTGGCATCGCTCGGGCGTGTGCATGTTTCCTTCGACGAGGACCATCGAGGAGCATCCTTGATCATTTGGCGAAAAAACCACGCACGAAACCGGAAAAAAACACAGGGAATGGACGTCCGAGCGATGGCCAGGAGGAGGGTGGAGGGGCAGGTGGGAGACCCGGATGGACCCACGATGCGTCCGCGATGCTGCAGTACACCCGTCCCGAGTCCTCTTCCCAGAAGTCCCTAAAGGCTTGAATTCTGTCTTGTACGGGAGTGGATCTCTCTTGAGCGCAAAGTCGTGCGGGTAAAGCCTGAAGATTGTCTTGTACGGGAGTGGATCTTCCTTGAGCAGCGTTCTGCGGGTTGCACACAGCCCCCTTTCGCTCCGCTCTTGCTGATGTGCCACCCCCTTCCTGCGAACATGTTCAGGGATTTCAGATAAGTGTGATCGCGGTGGTGGCATGGCTCTCCGAAGTCGGTGGATTCGTACATGTTCTTGAGTGTACCAAATGTTGTCCAAGTTGCTGCTGTGACTTTGACGAGGCGGCAGCACCAGCTGCAGCCTGGTCTAGTCGGAGTAGCACTTGCTTGGGAGGCAGAGGGTCATAGCACAAGCGATACGACGAGCTGAGGGCAATACTGCTCTGCTGGAGGACTGGCCTGTACGACAACCTGCAGAGATACAACCTCCCTAGGCTGTGTTTGCCCTCCACCTTGAGCCGCAGCAATGTACCACAAGGAGTAGATCCGTAAGAATTGTGAGGGAGCATGGGAGCGGCACAGCGTCATCAGTGGTAGTAGATAGTCGTGTTCGTGGATGGGTATGCCAACGTCAGATGTCCATTCAAGAGGCTTGCGCTACTTCGTCGACCTCCGACATTTGGATCGGTGAATATGATCAGTTCTGCCTCCAGTACTCCCCAGCAGTCCATGCAGAAACGATTTCCCAGCGAACAGTCGAGAGGAGGAACATCAGAGGCGCACAGTGACAGAACACATGAATGCTGAATTTGTTCTTGCAGTCATATTGGAGGTCGCTTGAGGCCCTCGTGGAGGCATCCTGGTGACGTCGATCTCCCAAATAGGGTCATCAATTCGGGTCCCCGCTTGGAGCACGATTATTCGCCTCTTTGGCCCTCTTGGGCTGCTCTTGAGGCGATCTTGGGGACCTCCGGGCCGCCTTTGAGCGCTTTTGGGCCCCCCCTTGGGGCTCAGCGGCGATATCAGAGCCATCTGGAGTCCGTAGAAGCCCGCAAGTGGCGAAAAGGCGAGAAGGCACGCATGATTGAAAGCCACGATGTCCTTCGATGACGTGAGGCTCTCGGGGGTATCCTTGGAAGGCTCCGTGGCCACTTGGAGCCAGTTGGGGGCGCGTTGGCAGTGTAGGCGTGTAGGAGCTCTTATGAAGTCGCCTTGGAGGGCATCCTGGGGGTCTTGGAGGATTTGGAGACTCGGAATACCTGGTAGATGCGCCCCATGTGTGGCATATACGGCATCCTGCACCAGCCGCCAGGGCTGGAACAGCGCATGGGGCAACCGCGCGCGAAGGGCTTGACACGAGGCTCGAGCACTGAACGATTGAAGCAAACACATGTGTCGCATCTCTGAGAGATGCGACTGGTGGTGTTTGCTAGTGTCTTATAGGATATACAGATACATATGTGTACACGCATATACGTGTGTGTATATATGTAGATAGCTAAACCCCACCGATGTGATCGATGTATTCGGAAACTGGAGCATATACGGTACCAGTGGCGGGCTGTTTTTCAAACCCAGGACTTGTTCGAGGATCGGGGACGACGTCGGGGTGGTGTGGTGTATACTTGTTTCCCCGTTTTCCCGTGGAAACAACGAAAAATGTATACACCAGGATACCGTGAACACGAGGATCCGTTTTCTTGTGCGAGTTCCAGTGCAGGGCCGGAAAAAGCGTTGGTGTACAGAGTTCGGTATTTTATGTATGGCGTCTTTTGTAAGGCGTAAGATGGGGCGCAGTACTAAAATGTCAGAGTATGATGTACGTGAGTCATCATGCCCAGTTATTTCGAACGACCGTGCCAGGGCAACCTTCCCCTGGTTCAGAAGCAGGGCTTGACCAACATGCTTATTGGATGGTGCCCATAAGGCCATTGTCCTGTCATGACTTTGAAGGTTGCAGTTGCCCATTCGTGTCTTGGTGCCCATCGGTGTTGTTCTGTCGCTGGCGCTCTATAATGTTATTGATTGGTTTGGTGCCTTGTGGGCTGTGCTTCATGGCTTGGTGCCGTGGGTGGTGCTCTTCGGCGGGTGCCCCAGGATGCGTTCGATGGTAACGGTTGTTCGTTCCTGCATTTGCACCCTATGGATGGTGCCCAATGATTGGTGCCTTATCGGTTGTTTAATACTTGCCTTGGTGCTCTCCGTGCGGGTGGAATTATGCGGCTGTTACCCTATGTTGATTGTGAGGGTTGCGGTGTATTGTTCTGCCAATGGCGCTAAGTGGGTGGTGTTCCATGGTTGGTGCCATATGCTGCCCTTGATGGTTGCGCTTGCGTGTCCTTGTTGTCCCATGACGCCGTTGATGGTCGCGGTTGCCCGTTCGTGTCTTGGTACTCATCGGTGGTGTTTTGTGGTTGGCGCTGTCTAACGCCGTTGCTGTTTTCATGCTGTCGTTCTTGCCCTTGTGCCTTGTGGGTCGTGCTCCATGGCTGGTGCGCCCTATGATGCCGTTGGCAGTCGCGATTGCTCGCTCTTGCCTTGGTGACATCGGTTGTGCTATATAGTTGGTACGCTATGATGCTTTTGATGGTCGCGGTTGCCCGTTCTTGCTTTGGTTGCCCGATGGGTATGGTTAGATGGTTGGTGCCCTTGGGGTGTTGCTATAAAGTCTGTGGACAGGGTGTAAGACCCTCCTTTTGGAGGGCCACGAGTGCAGCCCTTACCGGAACCAGATAATCGCGTTAGCAGCGTGCACCTCGCAGCATAGCAATATCATAGCACGTCACCGTGCCAATGTATACCATGACATTACATGATATTGGCACCGTCATTGAAGCATGGCGTTGCATCACAAGATTTAGTCTGAATCCTTCTGTCACGCGTTACTAATTTGTTGCGCCACACATTACAAGCTGATTCCTTTGTGTAGCTGGTTGCACATTGAGTTCTTTCTCATGGGTTTCAACGTGATCCTTTTGTGGTGCATTGCAAACTGGTTCCGCTTGGATTCCGATTGGTACATAATCCGAATATATTTGGAATTGTGCAGATCCCAGTTCCAGTTGGTTTCAATTGGGTTCCTAAGAGGATTTAATCGCGATCTAGTTGGAATTGAGCATGTCCCAGATCCAGCTGGTTACACCAATATCCCTGTTCGAGTGCAATTCGAGTCGATTTGAAATGGTGCAGACTGCCGGGATCGAATTAGCATTCAATTGGAATGGTGCAGATCCCAGATCCAGCTGATTCAAGGTTGATTCCTATTGGAATCGAGGTAGAATCTAATCGGGATGGTGCGACTCCCAGATCCAGCTGGTTCCAAAGATATTCTTATAGGAATGTCATGGGAGTCGAATTTGAATCGAGCAGACGCCATATCCAGCTGATTCCCATAAGATTCCGTTTGTAATCCAATTCGTATCGAAACGGAATGGTGCAGATCCCAGTTGCAGTTGGTTCCAATTTCATTCGTATTGGGATCGAGTTAGGATTTAATCGGGATGGTGCAGATCCCAGGTCCAGACGGGTCCAAGTATATTCCTATCGGAAAGAGTCGAATTTGAATTGGGCAGGTCCCATATCCACTTGATTCCAATCATATGTTTGTTGGAATCCAATTGGAATCGAACTGGAATGGTGCAGCTCCCAGATTCAGCTGGCTTCAGTTTGACTGATATTGGCACCGGATTCCAATTGAGCAGATCCCAGATCCCAGATCCACCAGGCTAACGCAACAGCTGGGCGCGGGGAGCAATACGCCAACAGTAACAGAACAGCCAACCACGACACAGCGAAAACCATGAACATCAGAGCTCCCAGGCAAACAAATCAACGAAATCAAGGCTTCGACAAGTTCCCCACAACAAGTACGAACAACACCTAAGCTTGGTTTAAAGATGTTTCCCCTCCGAAAACCAGTCGTGGCATTCGTTTCGTTGATTTTCTTGTCTCGGATATCTGGTGTTTATACTGTTCTATTCGTTTCGGCTGAAATCCATATTTTGTTCGTTTTCGGCACCCTCTCCCCCCCAGCGCCGCCTCCCCCCTTCCCCCCCCCCCCAGGGAGACGCCCCAGCTGGGCGGGGGGTGGCAGAAACCAACAACAACAGAAACATCAACCCGAACACACAGAACAACAGCAAAATCAGATACCCCAGACAAAAGAACATCGACGACATCAAATACCCTATTATTTTCTACATAAGAGCAAGAGAAAGCCTAGGGTGCATCAATGCTTCCCGTCTAAGAACCAGCCAGGGTCTTGATTTCGTGTTAGTTGTAGTTTTTGTTCATGTGTGTTTCGGCTGATATTCCTGTTCTTGTTGGTTTCTGCGCCCTCTCCTCCCCAGCTCCGACTCCCCCTCGGGAGACGCCCCAGCTGGGCGCGGGATGCAGAAAGCAGCAAAAACAGGAAAATCAACCAAACCACAAGGAAATACTCAACATCTAAGTCCGCAGACAAAGCAAAATCAACGAGATCAAGACCCCGACGGGCCTTCGGCGGAAAATCATATTAAACCTAACCGTGTTCAATATTTTCCGCCTCTATCTTCTCCTCCCCTTGTCGATCCCCGAAAGAAGGTCACATGTCCATCACAGGGTGGGGCTTACCATGTGTATACAGTATACATACATATCTATGTACATATATGCACATATCTATATGTGTGTGTATACGTACCGATATACACACACATACATACGCATATATATATATATATATATATATATATACATACTCATACGCACCTCTCCGAGGGAGTAGAGCTCAGAGGCGATTAATGCGCACGCGTCCGCGATTTGTCTGGGCGTTTCGCTCGGGACATCCTCGAAATTCTGAACATCGGTGGCACCCCTCACGCAGATCGCGACGTCAGGGTCCAAAAACACATGGGAACTTCAACAGTTTAACCTACAACCTTCAAAAACACATGGTAATTTCAATAATTGTGACCCCGATTCTCAGTGAATGGCGGTTTCGCTTGAAAAATCCTTCCAAAATCGAGCCCCAGACCCCGCCTCGGAGCCTCCTGGGGGCCTCCTGGAACCTCCTGGGGCCTCCTGGGCCTTCTGAACCTTCTGGCACCCCAGACCCCGCCTCGGAGCCTCCTGGGGGTGTCCTGAAACCTCCTGGGGCCTCCTGGGGCCTCCTGCGGCCTCCTGGAGCCTCTTGGGGCCTCCTGAAGCCTCCTGGGGTCTCCTGGGGCCTCCTGAGCCTCCTGGGGTCTCCTGGGGCCTGGGGAGGCTCAGAACTACTCACACAGAACTACATGCACACACACACATCACGCCCAACACATCACACGCTAGACAAACATACACACACACACACACAACACCTACAACACACAAAAAGCACGCACCACACGAAGCATACATCACACACACACACACACACACACACACACACACACACACACACACACACGCACAACACTCACAATCCTGGGGCCTCCTGGAGCCTCTTCTGGTATCCAAGTCGGGCCTCCTAAGG